GGGTTTCTTTTTGTAATTTTTTAGGTAGTTTTGATTCCACTAGGTCATAACTGATTTTTCAATCTGTTAACTGTCGTCCGTTAATGAATAAACTAGTGAGGTAATCTAATCACATCAAATCTTGTTCAGTTACTTTCGACAAAAAGAAAAAAATCTTGTTCAGTTACAGTTGGCTCACTTAAGTCATAAATGGCGTTTCCACACGTCTCTGTTTTTTTCTTAGTCATTCTTGTCTATGAATCATGTACAATGATCATGTATGGAAATAATTTGTAGCCCCCCTTTGTAGAAACCGTTCTAACCCTACAAACCTAATGTTGCACTATCACTGGTAATTTTACAAATTTTAGGCCTGGGGCAATTCCAATTTTTGTACACATCTCTATACTCTGGGTTGTTTAACTGCAAGGTCAGATAGAACCTGAACCTGGTCAGACATGCTTTGATGAGGAATCCCATTTTATTAGTGCACTAATTTAGTTTTTCAGTTGTATGCTACACTAACTTCAAAAGCGGTTTTGATTAGGACTCCCATCTGGGAGCCCTAGCTAGCAGCTTTAGCTTCACCTAATATCTGCCTTATGTTACAATCGCTTCTGTTAAATTTGTATTAGTATTAGTAGACATTTGATGTGTGCCCTTTAGGTTGTGGACCTGAAATTTGTCTACCAGTGTTCAGTGAACCACCAATACTTGATGATTTGGGTCCTATAAAAATAGTTCGTGTACCCTTTGCGTATATCAGAACTTGATTTATAATCAACTTCATATAGGATGTTTTAAAGGCAATATCCTGTAAGCATGGGAAAATCACAGTATACCTAATTTATGACAGTGTTTTGTTTTGAACTAGCTGTGTGTTCAACTTTCTGCTGCACCCATCGGCTATTACAACTTTGCTAAAGATAATAAATATTGATTTTGGCTGAACCTTTTCCTTCTGCCTTTCATTTACTTGTTTAAAAGTAAGCACGTGGAATTCAACATTTCTTCCTTCAAACTGCATTCCCAGCATGCTATTTTATTTTTAATATTGATAACTTATGCTGCTGCATGACCAATTTTCTCTTGATTTACTTTCGGTAAAAAATATTTTGTTGTCAAAAAGTAATCAATTTTTCAAATGTTTAGCAGTTGATAGTAAAGGGCCCTGAGTTGTGAGTCCTAGTCTACTCTTCCTCTACCTAAGGACAAGGAATGGGTAATATTGACATGGGGCAGAATGTGTCTAGATGCGGAAATTCTGGTTTTTTTTTTTTCTTTGGGTGATCAACCATATATTTCATTAAATTTGAGATCTATAACAGACAAACCGCTGTTACATTCTAACCATCTGGCAAAGAGTATTTTCTGGTTGGAAATGACACTGCTTATACCCAACACTGACCATTTAAAATAGGAATTTCATCTTGAACACCACTTAATTATTTACGATGTTGGAGAATGGGTTCAGTTGAATATTTTTTTTCTTTTGGGTTAGAAAATGGGCACAAAGCGCAAGCAACCGCAACACAAAAAAGAAAAACTCAACCCCTAGAGCTAGATCATACAGCTCTTGGCCAAGACACTCCAACTAAATCATCCAAAACAGCAGCAGAAACTTCAGGACGAGAATCCTTAAAGAAAGAACAACCCAGTGTGGTAACCTGAATTTGAAATGAATACTGTTCTAATGTGCTGATTTTTCCTGTTCTTTTCTTTCCTTTATATGTTTTCGATATTTACTTTACACTTGCACATAGATGCACATGTTTGATACAATAAGAAGAGGTCAAAAGTATAGCAAGTTATTTTAGTGCTAGATAAAGTGTGTGTGTGTCTATATATCTATATATATATATATATATATATATATGTTTGGGGAAGACTAAAAGTGAATGGTTTTCAGTTTACTGACATTTTTATCCTATAAACTGCAAGCTTTATCGTCACTGTTCTAGTTCTTATGATCTCAGAAATTCCCCCATACCTTTATCCATATCATTCTTGAAAGTATAAAAAAATACATGTACAAACCAATCCAAACCTAAAATGGCTATGAAGTCTTAAAACATAGAGAAGAAAGATGCAGATAGCCTTTGAAATTATTGAAGTTTATCCCGGTAAAGTTTGCAGACAACCTACTCAAAACAGCTTGTGAAAATTGAATGATATTCTGGTGACAATAATAATGTTCTGTTTCACATAATCACTTATATTGCATTCCGCAGAACTATTTGCCTAAAGATGTGGGCTTCTCTGAATCATTTAATATGGTCCATGCAAATATTGTTGGTAATATCAAGGACGGTCAATTGAATTGAGTCCATGTGGTTATTTTACATAATTCTTGGATATGGTCTCTGACAATTTTCTCTCTTTGTTCTGCAGTTTTTGCCCAAGAAGGGAGGCACACCAAGGAAAAATGAGATCATATTCATTTCTCCGACAGGAGAGGAGTTTAATAGTAAAAAACAATTGGAGAAATACCTAAAAGCACATCCTGGTAACCCCGCAATATCAGAGTTTGATTGGAGCACTGGTGAAACCCCTAGGAGATCAGCTAGGATCAGTGAAAAGGTCAAGGTTGCTCCATCACCAGAGAGCGAGCCTCCAAAAAAGAGAGGCCGAAAATCATCAGGTTCAAAGGACAAAGTGGAAGCTTCCGGTGGAGAAGCTGATGCTACAAATGAAATTCAAATGAAGGATGCAGAGGTAGATGAGAAGAAAGATGCAGAATGTGAGAAACAGAAGGATGCAGAAGCTGAGAAAGAGAAAGATGCTTCGAAGGAAAATCAGGTTGGCAATGGAGGAAAAACTGAGGAAGAAACTGACCAGACTAAGCCAGGGATGGTAAGGATAAGCCCCCGACTGATGCTAAGGAAACTCTAGGTGAGGAGAAAAAGGAAGATGCAGTAGAGGAAAAACCTGCAGAGGAAGCAGCTGAAAACAACAAAGAAGATGTTCCGCAAGCTGAGGGAGGACAAGCAGATGGAACTAGTGACAAGAAACAGGATGACACAGCTACTGTGACTGTTGAAGCAAATGGGGCAGCAGAGAAAGAGAATCTGGATGGAACCGCACCTTCTATGGACGGAGAGATCAAAATGAAACACGATGCAGCAGAGAACGATGGGAAATGCAATGCTCAAGCTGAAGAGAAGGTCAAGCCCAAGGATGGGGAGGTTGTTGAAAATGGTAAGGTTGAGCAAGTGGCGCAAGCGGATGTGCCCCTCTATAATTGAGCAGCTGAACATACTCTACGACCTCTCCGGTGAGCTGTTGAATGTTCTGTACCATTTATTGCAGTTGGGATTCTGTTACATCCATTGAACTTTGTTTCGCCCCCTTTGTTACAGTGACGCTGGGAGTTATGGATGATTGTAATGTTAATGTTGTTAATGTTAGACTTAACTGTATCTAGGGAACCTACCGGTCTGGTAGACTAGGTCTTACTTGTAGATTCTGCAACTCTGGTTAGATTGTAGAATGTAAGTGGTACTTATTGGACCGGTTGCATTTTAGTCGTCGGTAGATGGTCACTTGGTACATTTTGTTTGTTAACTTGTTCCTTTGTTAATGCGACTAAAGTTTTAATTATCTTGTTCTGCTTGTGTTCTGAAAATTGAAAATGTTGGGCCGCCAGAGCTTTTGTTTGAGGACCGCTGTTCTCAGCTGTTTCCATTTTTTGGAAGGGAATTTTGTTTTTGCAAATTTTGATAAAAAGGGGAGGGAACATTAGGTACTAGATTTTGCAGTTTTGCTCTGCTGTGCAGTTTGTAGCGGTTCTGAGAACCACATTCACCCTAGATTGGATATTGTACAAGTTTATGAGATCGCATTAGGAGGGCAGAGGTAAATAAAGGTGTGTTGGACTTTTTATCCAGTCTGACATTTCTGGGACAATGGACATGGACTTACAAGAATGTGTAAGCCTATTTTCATTAGATGAGAAAATGTTAGACCCAAAACACGGTGGGGGTCAAATGTAACACAACATTATGCGTTTTGTAACGCAAGACTTGTACACAAATTAGTTTTGCTATTTGAACATGTGCAAATATGTGCATTGGAGGACAAAACAAGAAAACTCAAAACAGACCAGTTTTTTTAACTCGTACGAGTTTGATTCGATTTGGAAAACCAGGACCACCATGAAAAGTGGCATTATTGTTTTTCCTTCCCTGCTCGTTATTGTCCAGATCTTTTATCTTTCTATTAACCACTTTTTCTTCTATATTTTCTACCAGCTTGTGCTTCAGCTGAGTAAAGTGAGCAGTCTTAAATTCAATACACATAGATGATGATGGCATATTAGAGCTTGTGTTGAGTTAATACCCAATTAGTGAATGGCCGTATTGTGTGACCTAACGGTCCTAACCTAATCTCATTCCCTTACACTAGATTATTCCCTCCTCTTAAGGTAGAATATTGTTGTAGTGAAGCAAAGCCTCGATTTGTAATACATTTCCTATATTTTTGTTTCACTCTATCCGCAATATAATTTGGGGTACGGACACCTCCAATTTAGAGAAATGTCTTTCGTACTCTTTTTTCTTCATCCACACTCATATTTGTTTCTGGCCTTTAATTTCAATAAATTACAAGAAAATCGATTAAAAGTATACATGTTTGTGCAGGAGGAGAAAATGAATTTGAAAAAAAAAGATCATTTTCCCAATTTATGGTTATGCTCCTTTCCCACGAAAGGTACTACCATTCATCCCAAAGCATATCAAACAAAGAAAGATCCTTTAGAGAGAGACAAAAGCACTCCGATGGAAACAAGACCAGAAAGGGGAAAAGGCATACTTTGAATTTGAGATAGACAGTTTAAAACTCGAAAAAAAGTGAGAGTAAAGTAAGAATCTATTCCATGCCCGCCCCCCACCCCCAAGAAAACATTTGTCACCTTTGTAGTAAAATTAAGGTTAAGAATCTTGGTATTCTTGTTCACACGAATCACAGCATTGTTTGGACGTCATCTCTGGACCTAGAGAAGGCTAAGAATCTACCCTCTTATGGCATGCCTGAAGCAAAAGTATTGCATCATCCAAAGGATCGCTTACGGGCGGGGCGGTTTCTTGACTGAGGTTGCCGTCGTTGTTGGGTTACAAGATATTTTTATTAGGTCATCTCCAGCATTCCTTTTCCACAGAAGGAATGCTTTCATTGTTAATAGATCCTTCACAAATCAAATGGAGCTCTCTTTCTTCTGCTTCCTTCTTCTCTTCTCCACCACTACGTTTCTCAATGGTAATTTCTTGTTCATCTTCTGCATGAATTTAATGTATACTGTGGTCTTTCATGAACTATATGGTCGCATAGAAATTATTGTGTGATAATGCAACACGATCACGTAGTGTAACCAGTTCGCTTGTTATAATACAGGTTCCTCATTTTATATGAAACTCTTGATCTTATGTGCTTCAAAGATAAATCTTGTAGTTGTTAATAAAATGGAATTTACATTCTTCGAATTATTTTTTGGATTCCAGTGCTATATTGAACTTACATGCTTTGGTTCAAAGATCTTGTTTTCATGTCTCATGTCTGTTAAATGATGTGTGTGACCTTCTCTGGATCATGAATTTTTCTTTGTGTTTAGTGGATGCATCTTTTACTGGAACATACGGAGTAAACTATGGCAGGATCGCTGACAATATACCTTCGCCTCACAGCGTGGTGACGCTTCTCAAAGCGGCAAAGATAAAAAACGTCAGGATATATGACGCTGATCACGAAGTCCTCACCGCCTTCAAGGGATCGGGAATTGAAATAATTGTAGGGCTTGGAAATCAGTTCCTGAAAGATATCAGCGTGAACGAGGATCGCGCCACGGATTGGATAAAAGAAAATGTACAGCCATACATTCCGGGAACGCGCATTGCTGGAATAGCAGTGGGGAATGAGATATTGGGGGGAACTGATATAGAACTCTCGGAGGTCTTATTGCCTTCCGTGAAGAACGTTTACAATGCGCTTACCAGGCTTAATCTGGCGACCTCCATTCAGGTCTCGAGTCCACATTCGGAGGCTGTGTTCGCGAATTCCTACCCGCCATCTGCCTGCATTTTCAAGGAAGATGTTGCTCAATTCATGAACCCGCTTTTGGAATTTTTCTCACAGATTAATTCCCCTTTTTACATAAATGCATATCCATTTCTGGCATATAAGAGCGACCCTGAGCACATTGACCTCAACTATGCTCTCTTCAAGAAAAATGCTGGGATTCATGATACAAAAACCAACCTACATTACGACAACATGTTTGACGCAATGGTTGATGCGGCGTATTTTGCTCTGGAGAAGGCTGGATTTGACAAGACAGAGGTCATAGTTTCCGAAACTGGTTGGGCGTCTCGCGGGGACGAAAGTGAAGCAGGAGCCAATGCCCAAAATGCCAGGACGTACAACTACAACTTGCGCAAACGGCTGTTGAAGAAGAAGGGGACGCCACATAGGCCAAAGATGGTTGTGAGAGCTTACATTTTTGCTTTGTTCAATGAGAATTTGAAGCCAGGGCCGACGTCTGAGAGGAACTTTGGATTGTTCAAAGCTGATGGGAGCATTTCATATAACATTGGCTTCACTGGACTTGTTGGACCTTCTGCAGCATCATCATCTCTTCTTAACTACAAGGTATGAGTTTCAAGACTACTCCTATCTTTAGTAATTCAAGCTTTATTTTTAAATTTTGTTTCTCATCTGCCTGAAAATTTGGTTGTTTTTCAGGTTTTCACAAGTTGTGCAGCTCTTCTGCTTCTATTGTTAACTTCATAATTAGTCTTTTAGGGTTCTTCGATTAACACATAATTAATGTTGTAACATGATGTCCATGTATAGCCAATTCCATTATTTTTACGTTATGATTCCATTATCAAGTTAGATAACAGCCAATTTGCTCACGGTTTTCTAATAATATTCCAGCTGTTTACAATACCTTGTCTCTCTTTTCGTTTCTATTTTTTTATATATATATTTTTTCATAAAATAATTTAATGATTGAAAAATTCAACAACTGCATGCAAAAGCAATAAAGCCACAATAAAGCCACGCTTGGCATGCCGTATAAAGTATCGAAAAAGACTAATAGTAAGAAGTCAGTTGTTTGGTTCATTTTTGTATTAAATAGCCACCTGACTAAATAATTCGAATTCACTTGTTTTGTCCGGTCCACACCTACTACTCCAAAAGGCAAGACTCATCGAATTCAAATGTGAGATCTTTTAGCAATCCATTGTTAAATAGCCCAGCCTCGGCTTGTCTTTCTTAAATCCCTTCGTCTGAGTTTCTAGCTTCACCATGAAACTCTTCTATCCCTTTCATGCCTTAATTCCCAAACTCAATTTCCACTTTGAGCCTTTGATGATTAGGATTTGTAACCAAAAAACTTACCATATCCATATCTATCTGTTGACCCTATAAATTACAAAAACTTACGTGGCGCGCAGGCCGAGTAACTAATAAGCTAACTACGTCCTTCGGTTGAATGCGGGGCGTGCCAACTCGTCGGCCGAGCTCGGTTGAGGAGTAAAATTTGTTGATGTCACGTTGAGCGCGTTGTTGACTTCTTTATCTTGCGACTGCGACCGAGGAAGGAACACTCTCGGTCTTTGGGTTCTAGAGCCTAAAGACAAGGCTGCTAATTCTGCGAAGTTCACAAATCGTCGGCACCTGATTCAGTCACCGTGATTATATTCGTGAGAGTATAAGCACGTCGAATTGACACCAGACTATACAGACAAAAGTACTCAAAGGTGACGTATGTCTTGATGGTGAATGTAGTTCGGCCATCAGAATGCCAAACTCTGAAACTCACTTGTGAGTATCCAATCATAAAATTACTCGGCGTCCAGTACACCGAATAACGAACTCGTAACACCTTGCTACGCTAAGAAGGCTAACAAGGTGACCTTTGCCAACAAGGATTCGAAAACCCTTTTCGGCCGAGACTTGGATAGGCAACCAGTCGGCCTCGACGCAGTGCTGCTTATCCAAACTGAAGTTGCTCCTTGGTCGGCTGATCCTACGGCGACAATGCTGTTTATCCAAACTGAAGGTGTTCGCCGGGTACCCCCACAGTGCTGTTTATCCAAACTGAAGTGTGTGGGCGGAAAAAGAACAGGAAAAAAATCTCAAGGTGTTTGAGAGGCTTTTGCGCAGGGCAATTGTATGTTGAATCGAAGGTCCTTTGTATTGCATGATTTCTCGTATTTATAGCCCCCATTCCTTAAGACCGAATCGCACCCTTATCGGATTGGGAGTCCTTGTCCCGTTCCAACTTTACTTTGAATCAACTACTCCCACTAGGACTTTGAATTTTCCCCTTTTCCGAGGCTTTATTCTCTGCCGGCTAGGAATCCTAGTTGTACCAGAACTTCCTCGACCCTTTCTATTCATCTGGACTACTCCTTCTTAGGATAGGACTCGACTGACCCTGTTAACCAGCCCGGATTTTATCACTCGGCCCATAGTATTTGACACAGCCTTGGGCCGAGCACAACCTTCTGCTCGGCCCAACAATATTATTTCCAGCCCAAACATTGCCCCCTCGCTTCTGAGGTCACTGACTGTCAACCTTTGGTCGGGCCTCGACCTTGAAGAAGCAGATACACCTTTTGCTTTTCGGACTTCATTTTCCTTGATGACCATTACTATGCACATTTATGAGACATGATTGCACTATCCTCATTACCCCCGACATACAGCCATGTGTCGACTCTCTGCCAATCCTAACAGCTTTTAATTATGGCCCTCGAAAACGTGCATTCACCGAAGCATCTCTTCCTCATTAATGCATTAAAACCGCCGTCGCACGCAATTGTGCATCCTGGCTCCTCGAAAACCTCGATCCTATCCTTGCAAGTTCCCAAAATATCCGAAATGATTGGAACCATTTCCCTGTAAAATTTCCCCCCAATTCAAACTAGTGCTTTTCGAATACCAAACGTTTGATCTTCTTCCTAAAAGGCTTATAAATACCCAAATTTCTACCATTCGCATCTCACGCCTTCAGAAATTTCGAAATCTTCCCTTTGCCATTCCTGCTTGCTCAAACAACGCCTTAAGTTCATCTCTCTGCAACCTCCTTTTTTAAACCAACACTCTCTATTCTTTACCAATGGCCTCCTTCATTTCAAAGCTTTCCGACGAGTGCAACAAATGCAAGGATGTCATCGATCGGAGCGCCATCAAGACGCTACGCTTCGAAAATGATATGGCTACCACTCACTAGATTCTGGGTCCACTTTTTAAAGACTGTAGTGCCGTCGCGCATCACTAACCTTCTTAAGGAGCAATGCTTAACACCTCATGCTGCAGGGATTCGATTGGTCGAAATGGAGCTTGGCGCGGCCTTAAGGGGCCTGGCCCTCTACTACTGCAAGCCTGGGTTGTTCGAATGGGCGCCTTCTTCAGCAAAGAATTGAAAGCTCTTGGTATCTATGATGCCATCATGCTTTCGACCATGGAGATTACCATGGATAGAGAGCTGCTCATGGCAGCCCTGAGTTTATGGTGTTCGGCCACCAGCATCATGATTCTTCCTTTTAGCCCTTTCAGGCCCACAGTCCTCGACATCTCGGCCATCCTTGGAACCTCTCCATCTGGTCTCCCAATCGATGCCGCCCTTTCCGGATGCCCCTCCCTCATTGACCTCAAAGCGCTATTCGACGAACGGGCTGTCGAGACGCTCAGCGGAGACGATCGGGAGCCGTCGAAAGAAGAAGTTCAGAAGCTCCATAAGAACTTCTTCAACTACAACACCTTCATTCTCCACTTCGCCGGCCAAGGAGAGGAAAACCTTAGGAAGAGAGAACACAAAGCCTTCCTCTTCTACTGGTACAACAAATGAATTTGTTGTACCAGGTCGAACAAATGCCTGGTCGAGAATATGCCGGTGGCCCAGGCCCTGGCTAGTGGTCGCTCCTTGGCGCTCAGACCGACTATACTTGCCAACCTCTTCCGCTGCTTGGCCGAGACGACCATCAATAAAATTGACTCGCACCAAAACGGACCCCTCTAGGTCTTCCAACTCTGGCTGCAGGTTTACTTTTCCACTCTTCGGCCCAAGGTTCCTGCTTTCCAGCTCTCAGCCGCCCTCGGCCCTCAACTGGCCTCTCGACCAGCGCCTCCTCACCGGGCCGACGAGGTCCTCAAACACTTTTTTAGCCTCGACGTCCTTTCGAACGACGAGTTCCTGGTGTGCCGACGCCAGGAGTACCCTGCCTCGATCAGGCTTCCAACGGCAACGTGGGCCGAGATCGAGGATGTGGATCTTCATCAACATTAGGGGTCATTCGTATTGGCTCGCGATCTCCCCCTTGGTTACGATGCCTGCCGAGCCAGCTGGGAGATCTATCATCCCCACTTTGTCGCCCGGCAGCTTGGCTACCTCCAAGGTTGCCCCGTACCCCTGCTCGCCTCTCGTTCCCTCTTGAGTCGAGGACGTATTTCTGGTTCCTCCGAGAGGGAATGTAAGACGACGGAGCAAGAGTTTCAGGATTGGTGCAAGAAATTTCTGCTTTGGCCGACCGTTCCTAAATCCTTGGGTACCGACACCTTTGGAGATTGGTGGGATGAGTACACCTGCGACTTCTTCGACGCCTCGGTCGAAGACGTGGTACGTAAAGTCTTCGACGACCGGCCCAGACCAGCGCCCTCGGCCCAACCTAAGGAGTCGACCCAAGGTATATTGTCCTTTCGCCCTTTGTACGGTTGTACCCCAATTACTTGCCCCCTTTTATTAATTACTTCGCTATTTCAGGGGGTTGTGTGTCGAGGAAGGTGGAATTGGTCGCCGCGGTGGTGAAGAAAAAACTGGTTCCCTCGACAAAGACCATCGTCCACCGGGCGGACAGTATCAGCCAAACGCCCCCATCAGGATGTTGAGCCGGAGAATGACGCTCCTAGCCCTCCCAAACGTGTCAAGAAGTTGGCGAAGAAAGGCGACCGGGAGATTCATGTTGTTCCTAGTGACACCACGAGGACAACTGCACCTACCGGCTCTCTTGCTATCCCGACTGCCCCGGCTTCGGCAGACCCCATTCTTCCAGCCGTCTCTCTGACTGAGGTTATGGCCAATCCGACCGTCATCTCAGCTCCAGCTTCGGGGCCAGCCACGGCGCCTGCTGTGGGGAGGACAGCCGCACCTGTCGAGGCACCTTCCATCCAGCGACCGTCGGTCGTTCTGGAAGAGCTATGATTTCATCGTCATCCTTTTGTTTATTTAGTCTTCTAGTCCTAACAAAGGGTTTCTCAGGATGTCGAGAGTGATGAGATCCCGCTGGAGCGTCGCCCTCGGCCAGCTAACTCTCCTCCCGTCCATCCTCCTCTGGTGGTCGAGGTAACCGCTCAACCATGTCCTTCTACGGCGGATCGTGGAAAGAGGCCCTTGGCTAATCCTGAGGCAACGGCCGAAACACCGATCCTTCTGCAGGATGAAGACTTCCTCATGCCTCCGCAAGAAGTCTCTTCGGCCTTTGTAAGTCTTATCTCTTTTGTGTTAATTTTGTCATGACACATGTTCTTAAAGAACTATTAAATGTCAGCTGCCCGAACGTTCATTTCACCAATAATTTTATGTGCCTGACAGGCGTTGTCTATATTTCCTGGCCACCGTCGTGGCCATCAAATGTAGATAACCTTCATCGGCCGCGTGAATTGAGAAAGCGGTCTAAGGCACTGGGCTCGGCCATTAAGTTCCCTGGGTTCGAGCAATGACCCAGAGGGCATGGTCGAAGTCTCTTCCCGGTAGGTCTAAAACAATCCCTTTGTCATGCACTATATTACCACGTCTTATTTTTCTTTACAAGTTTTCCTCTTATGTGCAGCCTTCATGGGAAGTGGAGCTCGACGCTCTTCTTCAA